AAAACAAATAACCTTGAACCTTGAAGCCCCATCTCTCCCCACCTGTTCCTGCTTCCTACATCCCCTCCACACCACACCAAGTTGTTCTTCTTAATAATAATAATAGATTTATTTTGGGGGGGCCGCCTTTCATAACACCTTACAGGGGCATAGGGGCAATATAGGGAACAATTTAAACAGTGGATTTTGTGATATATCAGCCGGGGTGAGACAAGACAAACCACAAATGGACTACAGAAGGACACAAAAGGACACATGGTACAGTTTATATTATTCTTGGTCTTTTTTCAATAACATATTTCAAAGGTTCTGGATTTGTTTACAAATCTAGAAACTAAATACAAAACTAGGATGATATGAAGATCTCATGTCAAAAATAATTGTGATAAATGAGACAGAACTGGCCTGTCTGTGAGCACATTTTATGTTGGTTTGGTTCTTCTGATAAAGGTGTGAATATCTAAATAATATACCAACATATGCTATTGTCATTAGTTGTGTCCCTGTTCTTCAAGCTAAGGCATTGCTAAATTAACAACTCTCTTACAGAGTGGTAACATGAGACCAATTTGTATATATAAAATATAAATGTATTTTAATTTTATAATTTATTTTAAATATTAACAATATAATAAAATAAATGGAAATATATACACCGGCAAATATTTAATATAAATACCTTGTGTGTCTGTGTGTGTATAGCTATTGCTTTATCTGATTAATGTTATTTTCATATGAAAGTCCATGATTATAAGTATGCAGTATCATAACTACATCTTTGATGTTTATAAAAAACCAAACCGTTTGAAAATTGGTTGAAAATTGAGCAAGCTATGGTTATTTAAATAGTAAACCATAATGTTATGAATGAGAGAACTGCCTGTAGCAAGATGGTTCAAGTGCATTATTCTGGCACAGGACACATCTCGCGATCGACTGGGAATCTCCCCGCGATCGACCGGTTGGGCACCCTTGTGGTAGAACATGCAGCCTTCTGTTATAATTGTGGAGCAGTACGGAAATATTAAAACATGACCAATGGAAACATGGGACTGGAGCACACTGATGGACTCACTTAATTTGTGCAAACCGACAGACACAACACGTAACAGAGTGGACATGGACAAATACTTTCTCACTGATGGTTAAGTTACAATTGAAATGCTTTAATTGATACTGTATGTATCTATGTCCAGTCTGGTGTAAGGTTTTATGGTTATTGGTGCAGTCACGCTGATCCCCAGAGGTTTACTGTCCTCGAACTGAGAAGCACCTGGTTCAGCTGCATGCTCCAAGATGCACAGACAAACAGCGTCATATCAACATTTGTGTTTTTATTGGTGGCAACGATTATGGCCAATAAGTAACCATTTAAAGAGGCTGGATAATGCTCATTTTCAGGTTCATATCAGTATTTAGTCTCTCTGCCGTGACATGTCTCCATGCTTTAATGTTCAAAAAGCTCTTTATTTTTCTCATACTGCCTGTCCTGCAGCACCTCTTTTCATCCTCTGTCTAAAACCAGAGCCCAGTCTGCTCTGATTGGTTAGCTGGCCGGCTCTGTTGTGATTGGTCAACCACTTATGGTGCTTTTCCACTGCAGGACCTAGCACGGCTTAGTACGGTATGGTTAGGCCTTGGTAGGCCAGGCTCACTTTATGCTGCGTATATCCATTACAGTTTAGGAACTGGGGCAGTAACTATAGTAACGCAGTGTAGGCGGGGCGATCGGCTGTTCGGCAGGCGAAGCAATGCTGCGTAAAACTGCCGTGATGTCATCTTCAATGAGAACCACAAAACCACAACATCAGCCGTTAGCTGTTAGCACTCAGAGCTCACAGCTCCTCATATCTGTTCAGAAACTAGACAAAAGTTAAACAAGTACAAACCACAGACTGTCTGTGTCATGGCGAATACAATCGCTGGTTTATTTCTGTCTGTAGGCCGTTGTTGTGAGTGTGGACGGAGCATATACAACGTTAGCTTAGCCTGATCGATCCGATCTCCATTCAGAGAACACGCATTTTAAAAGGTTTTTCGCCTGCCGTCTGTCTGCAGACCGGTATCAGTATGTTGTTACTTGCATCATTTTGAAACGTGTATTACAATTCAATCACGGTCAAATATGTTCATTTTGTAGTTGTAGCCCCCTTGCCAGCGATTCTCTCTGACCATTCAGAAGCCGAGTGTTTACGTCACTAGTTTAGCATATTCAGCCCGGGTGTTGGCTCGGTAAGAACCTTGATTTTGGAGGGCCAGAAAAATGTGAAAAAGTAGCCCAGGGGCCTCATTTATAAACGGTGCGTACGCTCAATAGATGGCGTACGCCAGAACTACGCATTGTTTGCGATTTATAAAATACTAACTTGACGGGAAAACGTGCGGTCCACCACGCAAACTCTAACCCATGCGTACGCACTAAGCACAACAACGGGAGAGACGAGAAACTGCGACACCGTTGGCAGAAGGAAGGATGGAGAGAAATATGTGGAAATAATACCATAAATAAAATGTTACCTCTCATTTATCATATGAAGAATTCATTTTCAAACATTGATTAAAGCCAATCTTAAAATGATTTAACAAACGCCTGTTTGCGACTCCTCAGTGCACACAAGAACATAACTTGGAGAAATAAATAAATACGGAAATGTTATTGATCACCCCTCAATTTTGTTCTCTTGTTAAGAAATGTATTCTCATAAATGATGCGGTAAGCAGGAGGACAGCATTACTTTAAACTGACGCCGTTTTGCATTTCTATAGGTTGTAGATACGAGCATGGTTTTATATACTATCATGTTTAATCATGTTTTATGCCGTTCGCCAATAGCCTACTTGATAAGTCGCTCGTAAAACACAGGAGGTATGGAAACTAAGAACACCATATGTGGTCAATTGTACAGCTAATATAACACAACACATTAGTTGTATTTCCTTTAACTGGTGGATATAGAGTTGCTGCAGTGGAGACGCTGCGCACAGCTGATCGACAGCTGGGACACAAACCACCAAATACAAAAACATAATTCAGATCCAGTCGTCATGACTCCACTCCGGAGGGATTCCCCGATCACTTCTTACAGTCTCTCATCAAGGGGGGGTCTCCTGTCCCCGGTACAAACACACTGCCTGAGGAAGGCTATGTGTATTTATTTCGTCATTAACCTTTTTCGGACCACTTATTTATTTATTTTGGTGACGATCCGACCTCCATGCTGCTACTCTGGTTCAAACTGCATCCACCAAACAATATGATTTATCTCCACCTCCCCAAAATAACCCACATCTGACACGGTGTGAGATGTCTTTTTTAGCTGTTCTGTCGTCATTTCCTGCGATCTTCTTCATAAAGTCAGTCAAAGGGCCCTTCTCACTTCGGTTAAATGGATTCCTTGCTTCCCTCACTTGCGTCGTTTCCCTGCGACTAGTCCCTCCCACCAGGGAAGCATGGAGAGACGCAAGGAAACCACGAGAAGCAGGGAAATGAGTTTTAAGAACAATGGGACGTCCTTTCCTCCGGAGCGTCACGTGAAGCGACGTCCGTTTGTGATGACGCCGCACAGCTGATCGTCTGACAGCAGCTCTGTCCCCGTTATTTCCACACCCCCCCCCGCCTGTGTTTGTACACATTTACTGACACAAACATGTGTATCATCTGTTGCAGACCCCAATAAATAAAATAAAATAAGAACTCATTCTCAAAAAAGATACACGCCATTCTTAAAATGTATAAACGAACAATAGTTAGATTAATATTGATTAGAGTGCACAATAGAAATAAAATAATTGAGAGAAGAAAAATATATATGTTATCTATCAAAACCCAGTTAGATTAACATTCATTGGATTGCACACTTTGTTTGTTTGTGTGGATATGTAGCACATTAACATTTTAATAGCACTTAATGACTGACTGAATGGAAATGACAATAAATGAAAATGTAAAACGAAAAAAGCGATCATGAAAATGTTTCCAACAAATGAATAAAATGATTTGTGACCACTTTGTTGTTCAGATATATCACATATTTGTAAATAAATGATACATGAATTGAAACAAAACACGGTATAGACTGAGGAGTGACTCCCGTGAGGTTCATGTATTTTCTTCACTCCGCTGGGAAACGGCTCTCATGTCAAGAAGCATGAGATCAGTGCATGCACTGCCTCGTCCAATCAGTGAGCGATACACAGTAAGGGGGCGGGGTGAGTGTCAGAGGATTTCATCGAAGGATGGTCTGGTGGTTCCTCGGTTATAGCTCCTCCATTATCGCTCCTCGCTCCTCCGGAAAAAATAAGGCCATTGGGACGCTACTCAAGATGGCGCAGACAAATCAACTTCCGGTGAGACCGAGACCGAGGAGCGAGGAAATGAAAAATAAGAGAAGTGAGAAGGGCCCAAAATGAATGAATTAATGGGCGTTTCTTTGACTATTTATAAGCAAATATGGGCGTTACAAAAGCTGCGCCGCATTTTGAGTTGATTGTGATTTATAAAGGGAAACCGGCGTAGGATGTGCCGTACGCAAGTCCTGCACCGGTACGCAGTCTTTTATGAATCGTAAAATGTCTGTGCGTATTTATTTTCTTTGTCCTACGTAAGCAACCTTCCCACGTCAATCCTAAGCAAGGCTTTATAAATGAGGCCCCTGAGCCAAAGAAAAGCCGTGCTCCGTGCTGCAGTGGAAAAGCGCCATTAGAGATGTCCTGCTACTTAGCCAGTCAGGTACAATGTGTTGGAGCGCTAGCCAATAGGAGTGCAAGTGGTACATAGTGTTGTCACTATGTTTGTGAGAGAAACTCCCTCTGAAGCGAACAGGGGTTTTAGCCTTTGTAGACCATTTACACACAACATGCACAAAAAGCTACATAACACACTACAGGAAAGGAACATTATCTATACAGTGAAATGGTCTGTATTTCTTTTGTTTTCCTGTCATGTAGCCTAAACTGATGTTTACTCTTTGTAACCAACTGCTGGAATGACACACACAGAGTTCCTGTTGAATAACCTTTTATTACAGCACACAAAATAAAAACATCACATGAAGGAAAACTCTGTCTCTCCTCACTGAGAACAAGGACAAAGGTAAAGCAAGGATTCCTTTGGATATCAAAATGTACCCTCTCTCCACTTCTGTGGAAGGCAAGAAAAACTATCGCACATTTGATATTCCTATTGAAATAATCATTGGCATTCAAGCAGTGTTATGTAAAGTCTCGGTGTGTGCCATTATAGCAGAAAGGCTCCAGATCAAAGCACGTTTTCAGTATTGAGTTTTGTGTTGGATCTGAATCCATTACATTCACAGACACTTTCATTATTCTCTCACAGGAGATTAGGTGACACATTATACATTATATTAACAGGCTTTTAATTGAAATTCCTTGATTCTCATAGCATATTGTACCACTTTTTACAGCCCTGTTACATTTATATACAACTCATTTGCAACAACAAATCAGTTTGTGTATGGAAAGTTATGCTGCCTGGAAGTTTCCTATTCAGATAATGAGGAAATGTCAATTAAATAATGTGAGTTAACATAAATGGGTGGTGGCAAGGTGTTGCTACTGAATGTAAAATGATCGGAACATGAGCAGAAATCTTTAGCTGTATTTAAATATGAAATGTTATACAGATATAACATAATAAATCATCTTATTTTTCACATCTTAACCATGCAAATGTGGAGAGAAGGTCACTGAGCTCCTCACACGGCACTCTGTTCACCATGTAAGCAAAAAACACAGATTCAAACTCTTATTAATTACATATTTACTGTAGGTGTTGCTGGAGGAGCATCACAGTCAACCTCCAGTTCTGACAGACAAACTGCCCTAATATTTTCTTTACAAAATATGCAATATTTACATTGGCATTTACAAGCAACTTTTAAAAAAGGCAAACAAAAAGAAAAACACTTCAGTCAGTTTGAGTGCAACAATGCCTTCTGAACGTGGAGCACAGAGCCAAAACATAAACAGTGTTATTATACAAATGTTTGAGGTGAGCATCGTCCAATTCATTATTGCTGTGCTTTGTGAATATCGGTGGGTTTGAGATTCTTAAGTTTCATTTCACCCAGAGGATCAAAAAGAAAGAATGTAGAATAAAACTGTTAAATATAAATATGTTTTGTATAAAATCACCAATAATATTGTTTTCTTGTAAGCATGATTCAAGAAGTTTGAGTTTGTTGTAAGACAAAACTGCAGTCAACACAACATAAATATAGTCCTTCACCGCTCAGAGGGAGGCACACTGTCACCTGACACATTCATCACATTTAACCATGAGGTGCAGTCGCTCTGAGGATGTTGACATGTTGGGGAATTTGCAGTTTACAGTCATCTCCACCTGGTAGTAACATGTGCTCTGTATCTGGACAACATCTGATCACCTGCGCATTTACACCTGCAACAAAACATGTTCCTATCCCTTAGCAAGGTTGCTACCCGAGTGAAATAACCCAGAAGAACCAAAGGGTCAGCCATGATAAGAGCTGATTGAGTTCTCTAGATGATATGAGAGACGCTTCAACGTTTCCTTTATTATCTCCTTCAGCTCAGGACAATCCTCAACAAAAGGAAAGTAGATCATGATATCCCATAAAACGTGTTCACAAATGGAACAAATGAAAACAACGTGAAAGACTCTTGAGGAACAGTTTTGACACACAAGGTAAGAGTGGTGTTCTAACCACAAACACATGGTATGAGGTCATAAGAGATATAAAGGAGAATTTAAAAGGACTTAGGAGAAGACAACCGCAGTGCTACGAGTATACCAATGCACTGACTTTAGGATACGTCATTATGTGACGGCGGATGTTATTTATTGTTGGACGCCATCATCTCCACTCCTATATTAAAGCTGCCACTTAAATACTTAAGCTTGCTAGCCATCTGATTTCTTTGGTATTATTACCAGAACCGTTGACACATGGCTGAGATCTGACAACACTTTCAGATGATGTCGGGCTGATCCAATCACATTCCTACTGCTTTACATTTACACCAAACATATCCAGATACTGAGTGCATGTTAAAACCAGATGTTGGTAACACCTCATGCAAACCCTCCCTATTGTGTATTCTATGACGAAACATCCATACCAGCTCCTTGGAGCCTCTGCTGACCAAACCCATATGTTTCCGCCCCCATTGCAGCTCTCTGCCATGTGCTGTGTTCAAACACAGTGTCTGCGTCACTCAGGACGTTGGCTTAAATGTTCAATATTACGTCAAAAGAAAGACAAACAGCAAGCAAAGCCACCGAGGAGTTCAACATGACTTCCCTTGTTTCATGAACATCAGTCTCTCAAGACGTCATCATCCATTCCTTCACCCATCCATGAGCTCCACCCACACACACACACCACACACACACACACACACACACACACACACACACACACACACACACACACACACACACACACACACACACACACACACACACACACACACACACACACACACACACACACACACACACACACACACACACACACACACACACACACACACACACACACACACACACACACGTCAAGAGGTCGGTTTGAAGTGGAAGTTTTGATGACATTTTCAATATCCATTCGGCTACAAGAGAAATAGCCACATATACAAATTTGTTAAAAGTATCCACCGTTTCATGGCTGACTGGCAGACTTAAACCATTAATGTATATTTAGACTGCCTCCACAACTCGCAACTAAATAGTTTGATAACAGAAATGTTATTAATTAAAGTCTTTATTATTAATCAACATGCAGCTTCTTTAGGACCCAGATCAGAAGTCACTTAAGAGAGTGGGTTGCAGTTATGTGTTTTTTTTTTTTTATTGTATTTATTTATTGTTAAAAAGTGTAAGTGTGGTTACCATACTAAGAGTAGAGGATGAGGGGAATATTATTTATATATAAAATATATATTACTGATATCCAGATTTCTGTAGATTAACAATCACTTTGTGATTCTGATGTGTGTAAGAACGTTGACTGAAAACCTTTCTGAAACGTTTATCCCCTCTCATTTGTGGAGAAAAGTGTGGACCCTTTCAGCTCATTGTCCCAGTACTTTGTGATGTCACTTCCTCTCTCTATGAGCCTCCATCTGCAGCTACAATCATCTCTCTCTCATTAAGGTACAAAACATAGTTTGTCTTATCATAGCCATTACAAATAATTTACATATATTACTGTTCAGTGAAATGTGTAGTATGTGTGTTATTTACATTGAGTATCCAGTCAGGTATAACAGTTAGGAGAGATATGCCTGTGTGTGTGTGTGTGTGTGTGTGTGGTGTGTGTGTGTGTGTGTGTGTGTGTGTGTATGTGTGTGTGTGTGTATGTGTGTGTGTGTGTGTGTGTGTGTGTGTGTGTGTGTGTGTGTGTGTGTGTGTGTGTGTGTGTGTGTGTGTGTGTGCGTGTGCTGTATTTGCTGAAAGTCTGTTCCCTGCATGCCTTGTACAGCGTGTGTACTGCTGGGCCTTCATAAAGTGTGTGTATGTAAGCGGTCTATCTGTTCCTTTTGTGTGTTTGTATGTGTGTGTTGTGTGGTATTACTTCATTACATGTGCCAAAATCTCCTCCCTCAGTGAGTGTCTTGGCAGTTCAGTGTGTGCATGTGACTGCATGCATGTCACTCATGTGTGTGTGTGTGTGTTTAGGAGGACATGCCGTTGACCAGGCTCCTCAGCTGTTTGACCACAGTCTCTATCAGCTTCTGTTTGTCTCTGTCGTTCTTCCTGAACTGAGAGAAGATGTTGTTCTTCTTACTGGTGTCCTTCATCCTGTCAGAGAGGAAGACAAAGAGACGAGTCAGACAGATGTTTAAGAGGTGTGAAAGTAGCCAGTCAAACTCTAGTGTGGACAAAACACTGGGGGAAAAACTAAGGCTGCAGCCACACGAGGACGAACGGAAACGAGCCAAAATCTTTATCAAAAACTCTTCCATCCACACGCAACAGGCACCAGAAACGTGTCCGTCCACACGAGACCGCTCGAAACCGCTGGAGACGCTGTAGTTTTGATTTCAAACCTTTATTTACCCAGGTGTATCCCATTGAGATCATTGATCTCTTTTTCAAGGGAGACCTGCTCAAGTAGGTTCCACATGAAACATAAAAACATAAACAGAACAACAAAAAGGACATTTTACAGCATCATTACAGGGATTACAATTTACAATAACTATCCACATGAGCAGGTACCAACAGCTTCCGATTGAGTAGCATCCGACCGAGCTTTAAAAACATTTAGTGGCACCAGATTGCTCAGTTTCCATTTCAATTGCAGACTATTCCAAGACAGAGGAGCTGCGCATCTAAAAGCTGTCTTCCCTAAGACAGTCCTAGCAGGCCTGTCAGGCCTAGTACATATGCCAGGCCTGTAAGTGGCGCTGTACTTCGGCTACAAAATACACCAAAAGCAGCGAAGAAGACTTCTCCCGCATGCATGGTTGCTATGGTTGCCCTTCTGTTTATTCTCCGCACTGGCTTTAGCAGCAGAGGTGGGGTTTCGCCGGTCAACATGTCCGTTAAAGTTTAAATCTTCCGGCCAAAATTAGAAAAGTGCCGGTCAAAGGTCTTCTTTGTTATTTATTGAGCTTTAAAACTAATGAATAACGACGCTATAATAATATAAGAATAATAGACGGAGGACGGAGCCTCTCTTTTCCTCCCCCTCTCCTGACAGCCCGTCAGTATCCGTGGTCTCATGCAGCTGGCTGATCCAGTAATGAGTGACCCGACAGTCAAAATAAACTAGTTTATAACTAGTTTAGGTAGTTTGAGAGGTCATTAAAATAGCTAAGGGTGATGATCTAACTTGAAGTGTGTGTTTTGTTCCGCTCATCGCTCCATCACAGCGGGCGGAGCTGCAGGTTGTCATGCAGAGCTGCGTGTCTCCTCTCATCGATCAAATCTAGCTGGAAGCTCGTGCTGGGTGCACTGTCCTGTGAGATAATGGGACCTGGCTCGAAACACATCAGCAATGACGCGGGGCTGAGCAGGAGAGGTGGGGAGAGGCGGGGCTATTGCGTCATCGTTATCAGGAAATGATCGTTATAGACACGGAGCCGTTTGGCCCCCGAGAGCGTTTCGTTCGCAGATCTATCCACCTTGGGACCCGTTATCGTTTTATGCATTTCCATGTCGGCCTTGTGTGGCCGAACCGTCTATCTGATAGAGAACTGTAGCAGATGCGACCGCTATCGTCCTCGTGTGGCTGCAGCAGGCTGTGAAAGCAGAACACTAGAACCACAGGAGCTAATGACTGCTGAAGACTTTAGTGGGAATTCAGAAGCTAAACTGTTATTAAATCCATCTGCTGAACTTGAACTCTTTAGAGAGCGATTACCCCACCTGTACCAGTGTGGAGTAACTCATATAAAAGATCATTTTGTAATCATGTGTGTCACCATGTCATTGTGGGGTTTTCCTCCCAATCAGGAGCACCCTTATATATTCATCAATGGCATTTAGTCTTAATAAAACTCTCTATTGTGCGTTTATAAAGTGGAGACAATTCATTCTGTAGGAGGTGGAAACAATGTTGAGATGATCAGAGCATGCATGGGGACAAGCAAAGAAAAGCAGTGAGGAAGCGGCACCTACCCTCTGTAGACTCTGAGCAGCAGCAGAAAAACAGCAGAGAAAAAGATTTAGGATCAGAAAAGCACCAGCACAGCAGACACATTCATATAAATGACATGCAAGCATTATTGTAATAAAGTGCTGAAAATATCAAAGACAATGGTACAACTTTCACTGAAAACTTCTTAAAATAGGAATACAAAATATGTGTTGACATTTGATCACACCAACAATTTTCTTAAATTCTATAAGAATTCCGGTGTAGATTTTGTTCCCTTCTGTTCTCATACATCACAACTATGACACCTGTGTTGGATTCATCCAAAAGCAAGCCTGGAACCCATCACCTAATCTTTTCCTTTTAATATCTGAAGGAAAGAGGGCAATAACCACCCACACTAAAACAAACTTATATAGTAAATGTTCTGGTTAAGCTGGTTTGACTTCATTTTCACTACATGGGATGCGTTTTTCCAACCCAGTTTAGATTAAACCACGCCCACTTCCGCATTAATGTAGCTCTGGGTGACGTCCCCATGTTAACAACGCTGAAGTTGGAAAAAAATGATATGGATTGTTTATGTATGCACCTTAAATGTGTATATATATATATATATTCAACATATCTGTTCTGCTCACATTTCTGTATATATTTACATTCACTGGATCACAGTTTAACTCACATTATGTTTGTTATTTCTATAAATAATGTGAATACATGTTTATTCTTATTATTATTTTTTTGTAATTCTTGTTATGTGTACTATCTGTGTTTCCTTCTCTGTCTGTTATGACATGTGAATTTCCCTACGGGGATGAATAAAGCTCCATCTTCTCTTAATCGGTCAGTGAAAAACGTTCCAGCGGTGTGCAGCAAGAGGAACATTTGTTATCCTCTGACAGTGTTGGAGAGTAATAAAGTACATTTACTCAAATACTGTACTCATGTACAAAACGTGAAAAAAACGAAAAACAAGCTATTAAGCTAGAGTACATATTGGTTTTTACTTCATTATATTTAAATTCATGGTGAATTCATACTAAAAATTAGAACGAACATTTACTCAGCTATGCTTAACTATGACGTTCTTTCATATTGAGAAAGTGTTATTTCCATCTACTTTGAAAAAGTAAGGTTGAGCCTTACTGAGCCTTGTGCTTCGTTCACTTCAGGAGCATGCTGACTGTTACACAGCACTCGATGGCTTAGAGAGGTTTGTTTCAGCCGAAAAACACAAGACTGGTTTCCTCCATCGCTCTTTCCCAAAGTACACTCTCCAGCTCAAACCTCAGAAATCCAAAGGCCTGTAGAGCGCATCATTCAGGCCTTAACTGTATATCAAATGTCCCCAAGAGAACACCAGAACGCTTCCTCAGCAATGAGAGGAGCCAGAAAATCATATTACTCATAATCTCTGACCAGAACAATCCTAGACACCTGTTTTTACAATAAATCAATGCTTGTTCCTGGAGATTCCTCTGGATCCTGAGGATCTCAAATCTGCATCTGTTTAGCAAAGGTCTTAGAGTTGGCCCTTTAAAAGTGTTGCAATAGTGTAAACACGTTAGCAGCAGTGTGTGGACTCACTTCTCCAGCAGAGCCAGGGCAGTAGCTGGGTTCACTCTCAGATATTTGGAGGTTGGTTGGCCGTAGTCTGCCAGGTACGTTGACCAGTCCCACACCATGAACAGATCCAGGAGCTGTAAAACAGACACAACACTCAGAACAGAAGAAGATTGAGGCTGGTGGCGGGTGACAGTTTGAACGGAGAGTTATCAGTCATTTTTTAATACAGGATAAATGACTTCAGTGTTTCAGCCAGTATTGTTGGGAGGTGGTCAAATGCTCCCTCCATGAGAGATAATACAAATATTGTCAAATATGGTGAGTTCTACATAACATAAAAATAGCATTTGCACTACCGTAAAAAACGTTGTAACCGTCTGCTATTTTTATTCTATTCTTTCTTTCTTTGCGGCAGCGGACACACATTTGAATCCAACCTGCTCCTCTTAAGCAAGTCTTCCCCTTTATCTCCCCTTTCAAAACGGTCAATCTCCAAAAAAGGGCAATCTGACCAAAAACATTTTACAGTTTGAGCCCCAACATATGAATAAACTGATTAAAAGTCCCATTTAGTTGATGTCCCCACGGTGTTGCATTTCCACTAGAGCATAGTGCTAGTGATTCTTGATCATTATTGGTCGGAGTTAGTGTGTTTATTTGGGCCCTCTGCAGTCTAGGTTCGATTGAAGAGGTTTAAACTCTGGTTTGACAGTCCATCCGTCAGCTAACCCCTTCTTATTGTGAAGTTTGAACAAGAGCTCTGCTAAAGCAACATGTATGTTAACTCTAGCTTGTTTGAGGCATTGTGATGCACTTGACAATGAAACAGGAACATAATTACCTGCAAACACTTTGATTCTAAGCTTCCAGTTTCATTGATAATGTGACGATGGCAAACACTTTCGTATCTTGGGTCACTGCGTCACTCAGAAGAGTGAGAGAAGAAGGGAGGAGGGGGGTTCTGCTGCTTAAAATGATGAGTGTTAAGTCTAAACAGGAACATTTAAAATGACCCCCCCACGACCCCTGGTTAACCTGATGGAGATGACCCCCCCCTGCCCCACCCATAGTGTATGCTAATGTCATAGGGTGAAACAGCTGGGTGTTTGGCTCACGTTGAAAGAGCAGCTTAGTGATAATAGCATTATTCAGCGGACTCCGACACACAGAGAGAGGCTTAGCAACAAAGCCATTATTCTCACCTGGAGCTAAGTGATGAGCCACCAGCAGCAGCCATCTTACTCTGACGCTCACTCAGCCCTCCACAGCTCACAACAATTAATGTTAATTGGTAAGGAAAACTCCAATGGGTTCCAACCACGTTATGGAAAGAGAGTTTGTGGACATTCTGCAGTGAGGTCGAAACATCTTAGGTGCAAGACTAATGCTCTCTGGTAGAAACACAATGACAAAACAAAACCTCGGCATTCCTCTATTCAAATGTCTTTATATTTACTGGGCCTGTACCAATTTAGGACTGATACATTATGATGCTCACTTTCAGTTTGACGTCCAAATAAAGTTTGTGTAGATCTTCTGGATTAACTGTTGTCTTGTAAACAAATGATGTGTGATTGTTTACTTTGCAAAGAATCATCAGAACTGTTAAAGAAAGATGTCCAAACCAAACTGAATAAGTGATCTAAGAGCTAAAGTCATGTTACATTAGAACTACATCCAGATCAATGCAAACCTTACAGACATACTCATGCTTGGATAATAATGATGTTGTTGAAATAATGCAGCCCACTGCACACTACTGTTTGCACTTTAGAACCGTTCCTCAATATCCAACACCAACTAGGGGATCTCATGCACGAGCAGTTCAAATGCAGTGAGGACAACAATCAGTGTAAACTCAATTACGCATTTCCTCTGCAGCGCGTAGCACGGTTTAAGCGTGCCGTGCCAAACCCGGCCCGTTTTTGTGTTGCTTTTCCACTAGGGGTAGTTCCGGCTCAGGGCTACTTTTTCACCTTTTTTCTGGCCCTCCAAAACCGAGGTTCTTACCGGGCCAACAACCGGGCTGAATATGCTAAACTAGTGACGTAAACACTCTTGACTGCTGAATGGTCAGAGAGAATCGCTGGCAAGGGGGCTACAACTACAACAACATGAACATATTTGACCGTGATTTAATTGTAATACACGTTTCAAAATGATGCCGAAGTAACAACCATGAATTAATGCTTTGACAAGTCTGCAGACAGACGGCAGGCGAAAAACCTTTTAAAATGCGTGTTTTCTGAATGGAGATTGGCTAAGCTAACGTTGTATCCGACCGTCCACACTCACAACAACGGCCTACAGACAGAAATAAACCAGCGACTGTGTTCGCCATGACACAGACAGGTTTGTACTTGTTTGAGCTGTGAGCTCTGAGTGCTAACAGCTAACGGCTGATGTTGTGGTTCGCATTGAAGATGACGTCACGGCTCCGCCTACACTGCGTTACTATAGTTACTGCCCCAGCTACTAAACTGTAATGGAAACGCAGCATAAAGTGAGCCTGGCCTACCAAGGTCTAACTATACCGTGCGAGGCCCTGCAGTGGAAATGCGCCAGATTCTGCTGGGTCATGTTATAAAAACATTGATATAGTAAACACTTCTGGGAAATATTCTTTTGGCATCAGAGAGATAAAGAGAAAGGCTGAGTGTGTGCACATTTACTGCATAAAGGTTGACCTTTCCTGGAAAAAAATCACTGAGGGTCATGGTGTTGAATGTTCAAATTCAGAATCTACCCTCCCAATATCTATCTGCATTAAGCTTTGAATGAATAGGCTTGCGGACACAAGTGGTTGAAATTAGGGTTGCATGTTAGCCCTATTTACAACCATGGGCAAATAAGGTGACATGCGGCGATGCCAGTCGTCCATATCTACGCATTGCTCGATGACTGGAAGAGGTCGCATTAGCAATTAGGATAGGAACACTGACTGTTGGGACAATCTTAGGTTTCACATTTGACTTTGAAACAATGAGTATTGGCGTTCTGAAATTGGAGAAATCCCTCTCTGCTTTCCTTCCCTTTATTAAGCTTGGCTTTGGATGTGTTCCATAAGGTGCTATTGTCTCATTGACTAGTATTGTTAAGTAAAACATTAGTAAGAATTGTATACGAGGCTATTATCTCTGTCACCATTACATTGTCATCAGAGAGTGGTAGCCAAGAGGTGAGACACCTCTAAATCATTGTTACACTATGTTTACACTTTAAGAAGCCTGTATAATGTATCGTGTGTGCAGCTCCGTGACTACAGTGTAAATACAGCCCCTAACAGACATGTAAGAGACAGTCATTTTTTATTTCATCATTTCAACATTTACATACTATTATAGTATATGACTACTATCCTTTTATTGGGGGGAAATATAGGTTTGTTGTTATTGAGGTTGTATAAATAAATGGAAGGATGGACTGCTGGATTGCTCTCATACTGCCCGGTGCATTTATGCGTGTGCCTTTGTGCGCAGCAAGCAGAGAAAGAAAAGCATCTCCATTACATATCAACCAGAGTACTGACAAGTTGATTTTTACACTGTGAAGCATTCTGCTCAGTGCGGATGTTGGTCACAATAAAAAACCAAAACAAACAACAAAGATCAATTCATATATCAGATTTCTATGTTGATATTTGTAAAGGCCTGGAACATGTTTAACTCACACAAAGGCATCTTTGCCACCATTTGCATTACCTAGAGTCAAATCTGCATCTATTCATGTTGCTGTATGACTTTGCATGCAATCACACTGCCACTCAGTGTGAGGCCACTGTTTGCTTGTCCTTGTTGGAATGTCAACACTTGCAAGCTTGTTAGCGAGCATTGTGTAAACAGGTAACTCACAACTCTCTCCAACAATCTACATGATATTGGGCCAAGCAGCACTCCTATTTATTCAAACCTATACCCTCAGGAGATACGCTATGAAAAAGGAAATGTACCAGATATATACATATATATATATATATATATATATATATATATTCTCCTCCTATGATTTTTGTCCAAAGCAACAAAGTCAACTAAAGTCACAAGTTATTCAGGCCGATTCAAATCAGAAATCAAATGTGTGTTAGAGGTCTTGGGCATGTTTCTCTTTAGTGACAGTGATGTTATGTTAAATGTCTGTTTTCCTTGTATCTTGTCTTAATATTTGTCCTTGTTGATGTTATTGACAACAATATGTTATTAAGCATTAGTGTATTGTGTGTCTCCGCAATGACCACACATATAGAGATCAAACTAAAACGACAGAAATCTCTTTATCTGTGTATATAATATATGACTTTGTATTATCTCACCAACCCTTGGACCTAGCTACTTCACGCTTGCTGTGAGTGTTGTTGAGGACCAGAGGAGGGCAGGTAAGTGCTGGTTAGAGCCTTCGCTAAGACAATAAGATGCTTTTCAATCAGTTTTGTGTACATGATGCATATACTGTAGCCTTGCTAACCTAATCACCTGATCACTTCAAATATTAAGAAGAAGCGGCACAAGCACATACCCAACCAGCAGCGCATTAGCCTCTATAACTGTATTCATCTTAACATTCAGCCCTCAGTATAGTTCATCATACACTGCCTTTCTATACATTGCATTTGGGATTAAACAAGTTCAATTAAGTACAGGTAAAAGTAAATAGCTGCATTATAATAATAGAAGTGCATTTCATTTTCCTAGAAAAGCATCTAAAATGATTTTATATATCATTAAGTCAAACTCAAATATTCGTCATGCACAGGTTATTGAGGTGGCCACTTGAAAGGAAATACTGTATAAATAAGTTTCACATTGTATTGACGAGACTTTTCACATGTTATTTATGAAAGGTGATTTGATAACTGAAGTGTAGAATATACTTGATCAAGATTTGTTTTAAGTAAGCACATCAACTATATTGCAGGCAACAGCAAATACTATCACGTAAATCTTTTTGCCAAGCCTTTTAGCATCACTCGCCCTACATGTTTGACTTTCAATCACTTGAACTGGTTGGAGGATAAGGATCTAAAAAGCAGTTATAGATATGGAATCAGGAGCCGTGGGATAAAGGGAAAGTAAAGGCTGACCTCGGAGTCACCCGGCCTGTGGAAGCCTCCAAAGCCTTCACCTAGGGCTAGGATTAACATGTCAACCAGCAGCCTGAATAAAAGGAACATGGCCACATCTTGTCTAATGAGCTGCATCGGAGGGAACCAGTTGAGTTGAGAAGCACTTCTTGTTTCTTAGCACAATTGCTTCAGTAAAACCCAAGTGTATTAAATCAAATCATGTTTTATTTATATAGCACATTTTAAAAACGATGTTTGGTGGAGCCAAAGTGCTGTACATGCAAATAAAAAACACATTACTGCGATCGCAAACAGAAGACAATACATTACAACAGCAAATATAAAAATCAAATATTAAACTATAGTTGTAGTTTACTTTAACTTCAGGTTATGAAAATATGTAGAGGTTTAGCAACAATATTGACTTTTGACCATTTGGTACTGTTATTTACGGACTGTTAGATCATTCCTTTTATATGTTCATTACTTTTATAATGCTGCAAGTTATCTTTACTATCGGGATGTGTACTTATACATTTGTTATTGTATTAACCTGTGCTTGCTTCTTTATTTAATAAGTTAGTGTTTTTATCTGCACTGTCCCCATTCTTGTAACAATGTAAATGTCCCGCTGTGGGACCAGACCAGACGAAGATCTTCATTAGATCGTAACGTTGCACAATACACTTTGTGTTGATCCATCTTGTGGTGTTTATTGGATTGTGTACTCTAGAACCTGTTATCTTCTATAAAATACAAAGACACACAAAATGATGGGGTTTAATCTGTGTTCAAAAAGCTGCGGGAAAAAATGGAGAAATAAAATGACAATATTTGATTTACATATTGCAAAAATGGATCAGCTACTTTAGTAACAGTCTCAGATGTATTGTTGAAAATATAAATGGATGTTGCATAAATCTAGAAAAGGCCCCATGACCCCAAACAAAGAGCAGGTCACTGGGAACTGCTGGGATCACTAAAGAATCCAAACAACGTTACTTCATATGCAGGAATTAGAAATAGAACATCTCCAGCTCACAGTTTTAATAACAGCTTTTAATAAGTTTACAACTGTTGCATTGTTTCGACAAAACTCATGTCTTGAGAGATTAAGAAGAGTCAAAAATATGTCTTATTCCTCTACTTGCTGCATCCCAATAAAAGCCTTTACTATAACATACATTGCACTCCATATCCAGATCTAGCCTTCTTGTCAGTCAAGGCTTTTTGTCTGAGCTCTAACTAGGCTGATTAAGACCTTCATCTTTATGCCTAAAATGCATCTAACGCTCTATGTGTCTTATCTGTGTAAGGATTTCAAACTGATGCAGGCTGGGAAAATGCACAACACAATTGCCTTAATGTTTTCATGTGAAAGGTTGGTTTATCTTCTCTTGTCTTTTTGCACTTTCAACAAACGTTCTGAGTACTGCGGTGACCTGGACTGGATTCAGAACCAAGCCTCCACCTCAGGCTCAGATTAACCGCTCAGCGAAGACACGAGGTAATGAGAGCCGGCAACACTTTACATACCACTGGTGTTTACAACAAGAAGGGAGGCAGGGGGTTAGTGCGTGTGTGTTGCTATAGGAATGTTTCCTGAGCGGGTGAACTTAGGGACATGTGAAAGTTGAAAAGGTTACACACAGACGGCCAGTTAAACCCACAATTGTTGATGAGATGTGTAAAAGGTAAGATGTGGGACAGTTGAGAGTTCAAACGTGAGATGGAAAACATTTGAAGTAAATATAAAAAACTGTTCTTCTTCTGGCAGTTCTGGAATCTTTTAACTATAACACTCATAACATAATTGTTAAGTGGTGAAGACTAAAACGTCCTGTATCAGAGGTTTAAAAACGTTGGAGTAGTGTAGACGCTAGGAGTTAGTTACACCTTTTAAAATGAAACGTATGCGAGTGGATATAGCCTGAGGATGGACGCAACACAGATGGCAACAAACACCAGGATTGTTATTACTCCAATCCAAGAAAATCCACACATTGATGAAATAACTACCATGAAATAATAATTGGTGCAGTAAATGAAGCTTTGTCTTCCTACAGAGAAACATCATAAGTGAATGAATTCAATCCAGCTGAGTTTATAGTTTACCTGTCGCAGGTCGATGAAGGCCAGCTGCAGCGTGTCTCCTTGAAAACCAGGAACCGGCTCTGAGCTGGCGAACACTGAGAGGAAGCAGAAATATCAAATACATTTCACAGATTACAGATAATCAGTGCTAAAAAAGTACGCTTTATATTGGTGGGACCACATATAATCACATCAACAAAACACTAGATACAAAAAGGGATACAAATATACCTCAGTGAAAAAAACCAGACTAACTTTCACTTTCATTGTGATGGACTATAAATAATAACATAGATGATGGGATGCCACCGGTTTCTTCCACATATTGAAACGTTCCCCTAATGAAAGCATTGATTTTGATAACAGCCATTATAGTCTGACCAACACATGTTCTTTTAAGGCCAATACCACTTATGAGTATTAATAGTTTCAAATAAAATAATAAATGAATGATAAAAGTGATATGTTCCGTGAACAATAAAGGCCAGGATTGATTAGTTATGTATTCCCTTGCCCTCTAAAGTCTTAATGAAAAGAATTGTAGAATTTGAAATGTAAGAGAAGCTGTTGGTTTACTGAATCGTTTATTTATTTTGCATATCAATTAGATTGTGTCTATATTTGTTTGTCTGTGTGTTTCACTTTTCCCTGGTGAAAAAAGATCTTAATTCAACTTTGAAGGATTTCATGAAATGACCATTAGATCGTTTATACTTACATTCACACTGGATGACATCCAGGTTGAATTGCTGAATGGCCCCCATGCTGATCTGTTTGAGTTCTGTGTCCAGCAGCATCTGCATCAGGGACGTGGACAGATGTTTGCAGGCTGACATACACGCCGTCTGGGCCACTTTACCCTGGAGATGCACAGGAGGAAGGAGGAGAAGGAAGGTGACAGAGGATGGGAGGATGAAAAAGAGGAGGGGGAGATGGAAAGGTGGGAGATATTAGGATGAGAAGCACAGATAATGAGTACACTTTTGATGGTAAAGACTTCAGAAGAAAATAGCCTAATACTGTATCATACGCAGTGTGTCTTGAGAGCAAGACTGAACACTGAAGGCAAACCCCCCTCATGTCTCTGCACCAGGTATCCTGATGTATACTTCAGTGCACACAGAAAGATGCATGAAGTCTAAAAGCAGTTATTCCTATCAATATTCTGCATTATGTTGATAAGAACTGCAACAGTCAATGACGATGGATAATTGACCCAAAAGCACCAAGACAGAGCATGTGTGTGTTTGGTGCTACAAGTGGTAACGGTTTGTTGTTGAATGCCATTGCAACTTTAGTCCTTTAATACTGAATTGTTCTAGAGGAATTTCAGGACCCATCCTACCAAGGAAGCATCTTTAACTTGAGAAACACCCATTATCTAGTCTCTCTTATTGCGTTTTTGGATGTTTTTTGATCAAAGTGTATTTCTAACAGAACAGTTGTGGATTATAGTTAAAGTCAAGAATAGTTTGTTACCACAAGTAGTAAATTAACAAGTCATTGCATTAATAAGTGCATACAAAGAATCTTTGACAAAAAGGTATACAAAGCTGACATGAGTGTTGTTGAGTTAATGATTTAAAAAAGACGTGATGTTATATGTTTCCAAGCCTCCATCAAGCCAGATGAAGAGCTACTTTGGAATGGGACTCCCCACCAAACAGTTATCCATTATACAGGGCAATGGGCATCTATTCTTTTTTTGAGAGGATTCGATGTCATAAACTCCCACCTTACCGTGGATATCTTCTGAAACAGGCCATTATCATGCAATGTGTTACTTAAAAGGTTTAATACCAATTACAATGCTTTTCATTTGACAAACTTTGTTCTTTGGAAAACATCACACATTGGACAAAAAACACAGATAGACTAACGCATGCATAACACTCCACATAACTCCACAGCATGTTTACAACTTCAAAGTAAATAGGAATTGTGAGCGTTTCCACTACTTGAGGTGTTTAAACACGTGATCCACATTGAAACAGGTGGGATTTGAATCAGTTAAACCTTTCCTCAAGTGTGTGAAACACTAACAGTAATGTGAATGTTTCTGTTCATTACAGTAAGTGTTTGTGCTACCCAGAAACAGAACAGCAGCTCAACAGACACTCATGCAACAACTCTAAAACGCAGGGATGATGTGGTAAGCTCAATGTCAAGGATAATGCACAGCCAATAATGTTGTTGATTTACAGTTACATAAAGAAACCCCAAAACACACTGAAGAGACAATCAGTGATTCTTTTCATAAATTGTTTGCTAGTAAAAACAGGAATCACTGATGGCACCTTCAAACACGTGTTTTAGTTGCAAAACCAATAGAATAATCTGCGGCTTTGAGCTCCAAAACATCCCTTTAACATCCTTCATGCTGACCGGTGACCGGCAGACAGAGAGCAGTGACACATGGTGTGGCAGGAATATTAAGGTCTGTCCATTTGCTATAAGTGAGTTGCTGCGTAGACAGCTAGCTAACTCAGAGACCATTCACACACAGATGTGGCACACTGACAAATACTTTACTCCATGCATGGCCACTGACGGAAGTATCTGTATACTTCCACACCAAGCCTGCTTCATTTAGAAAACTGTGTTGGCCATGCATTAACACTAAGACACCATTATGGTATGTGTAGCTGTAACATTAGGAAGATGATTTACATGAAATGTCAGTTCACCAAATCAAGCAGCACAGATGCTACCATTTAACTGTATTTATGTTTATCTGTTTGATGATGATGGTCATAATGAAAAAAAGCATGTAAATGAGATCAACTAAATCATAAGTTTAGAAAAACAGTGGTTTGAGGATGGCTTCAATGCATGATAAGAGAGATTAGCCGTTGTATCCAATGTGATGTGGACAAAGAACTTTACACAAACAACCTGAAAATGCTAAAGTTGTCTTACATTTACAGCCATCTTCAAAATGTAAAACTGAATGGATGAATTAGTCTCGGTGCTCTATAGCAAGCTGCAATAAGGAGCCAGTTCTTGTCACAGCCCATTTTGGTCTTTAGGTGTTTAGTCTCACTGACTATCATTTACGCTTAAACACTTTTATTTATTGAAGAATTGAATTCACTTGTACCAGTGTCCTTTTCCGTTTGGATAGAAATGTGTCTCTTGTAAACAAATTGCAACATGACATTGTATGAGGGCAAAAGAGTGCACTGGATGCCTTACATCATGGTTCCTTGGCCAGATGCTATACATTCTCTTAAACAGTCAAAACTCTAATATAATCCAAGATGAAATAATGACAGCACCCAACTATGCCAATGTGGAAATTATGTGTAAAAGCAAATTCATATTTTCTGCATCGGTCCACCATGTGCCTTGGGATGCAAATTACATCATCGCGCGCAGCCCAACATGTGTGACTGCATTGACTGTAATCTTTAAACTGTACACAATTATTAGGCGTTTGCACAGAAAATGTTGTTCAAATAACCCAGTCCAGTTGGTGGTGTATGCACCACTAGCATGTTAATGGAATAAAAGAAGTAACAAATGAAAAACTAAGTGATTGTTTTATAGAGGTAGTGTGTGGGGAGATTTACCGTTATGGACGTTACCAAGATTCATCTAAATGTCATTTTAAGAAATACAATGATAAATGGAATTAGACATAATGCAGTGTGGATCAGTAAATGCACATGCATGGAACTCCAAACCGACGCGTGTGTGTTATGAATGGAACAACGCGCACATCCGCGTGGCGTGAAGGGTTACCACAGGTGTCCGAAAAATCAACTAGCCTAAAGTAGTGGAGCGTCTACAGTCAAACATTAGCATGCTTCACATCTCCCCTCTGCCTGTGTATGGCAGCATAGTGTTGTAACAGCCAGGCAGGAATACTCACCGACATCGATGCATGGTCATTGTTGTTATTCTGAGCAGAGACACCCCAAAACCAACCAAAAATGGAGGAGGGGAGGAAAAGAGGGAAAGGACAGGAAAAGAAATGTGGCAACAATAAATGGACAGGAGGAGGTAAATTCAACTAGAGATAGCTTTCATGCTTGGTAAGTCAAATTAATCAAGGAATAAAACTGCTAGGAAAACAAATTAGTAACAGCGCTGCTTATTAGAAGGGGGGTTAATGGGGAAAGCAGACATTCTTATAGAAATAATCTAGAATTTATTCAAGACAGGAAAAGAGACGTTGGAGAGAAATGCAGGAGTGGAACTCAACAAGCTGTATCTGTGCTATTAAAACACATTAACTGACCTTTAACCCTTTGATATCACTAAATATGTCTTGTTGAACATAATGGCAGTGTGTGCAAAAGCAGTCAGTAACAGCACACTAACCATGCATACAGACACATTACCAAACACCCTTAAATTAACAATGTAAAACTCTACACACATTTGTATTAAGGATGTGATGGACATGTAGCAAAACACCAGGAAAACAGGTGGGGTTACGGGAAAATGTAAAGAAAATAAAATCACATCCCTACTAACAACAAGACACAATGGAAACCACCATCAAAAGCTGATAAGATGTGATCAAAAACTAAAAAGACATTGTCCTACAGTTCAAAGACAATCAGTGTGTCAACGATTGGTGGATCAGACTCACCGGGAGGTGTGTGAAGACCTGGAAGGTGGAGCGCAGGAAGTTGATCAGGTCCATGAGGTATCCTGAGGCTCGCCCGTCAGACTCAGCCATCCCCCATTCATAGTCCGCCAGCTGGATGAACTCATCGATCTTCTGGTTGAGTTTGGTATAAATCTCTCCCTCTGCAGCATGACGAGCATCCTGGAATTGATTTTATAAGCTACTATTACCAGACTGATAGGACTTAATACATATTTCAATACAGTTATACTGTATATCATAACTGTATAAGGAATATAGAGACAACTTGGCGAAACGCAAACCTGAGAAGTGTACCGCTAGCTATTATGCACTTCAGACCATATTAATGACATTTTTCTCAGTTTTTTTATAAAACAGAGTATGGTTACAGTGTCGGACAGTCTTCTGCCAGTACTGAGAACAACATGTGTTCAGAACAGAACTGATCAATGTTTTGACTTTCAGTTGAGATCAAAAGAGACTTTGCAATCATTTGGTGTGGGTCAGTGTTGTAGTCAAGTCACCAATTCACGATTCCAAGTCACTCTCGAGTCACCACTCTTCGAGTCCGAGTCCAAGTCCGAGTCACCCAAGGAGTGTCCGAGTCGAGTCCGAGTCATCATTACCTGTGTTCGAGTCAAGTCCGAGTCACAAGTCTTCATGTATTCATCTTCGTGGATATGTGTTGAAATGTAGCTGCTCCTCTACATTGCTTTCACCCTGTCATGTTATACTAATCTGTCTATTGAACTGCTGTGAAGCCAGTTTGGCTACAATTCTTGTAATAGGTGCTATACAAATATAAAGCTTATTACTAATATTCATATTATTATTATTGTAAATGACCTTTAATATGTAGAACTATATTTAAAATGAGTTACCTTTTAGAGAAGTGAATGTTTAAATTCTATCAATAAAGATGAATCCCCAGAAAGCACATGGCTGCTTAGCATGCAGAATGTTAAGTAGCCATGTGCTTTCGTGTTATGGCTGAATCTTTATTTATTGATTAGATCACCTCTGGTGATAGTGTTCAAGACAGCCTATATGTCTGAACTGGATCCTTAGAGTAATGTGTTACGGAGCCTTCTTCAATATTGTTTCCACATAACGAGCATTTTGCGCTGCTCTTTTCCAATGTGGAAGCAGAATGTGTGAAAGCATACAGCACGATGCGGGTGTGTCTCTAGACATCTTTAGACTGGAATAGCAGGGCCCAGTACGTGAACTCGCCTCGCAGGTGCACACGCCAGGATAGAGGACATCAGACTCCAGAGAAAACTTGCTCGAGTCCGAGTCCAAGTCATCATACGCGAGAATTCACGAGTCCAAGTCCAAGTCATCATACGCGAGAATTCACGAGTCCAAGTCGCGTCAATCAGTGCCCAAGTCCGAGTCGAGTCACGAGTCCCGAAAATCGGTATTCAAGTCCATCTCTGGTGTGGGTAGAATCACATTGCTTTCTGAAAAACCGAATATACTGCAGGTCTATTTGTAGGAGCAGAACAGCCTGTCACCAGGTTGGAAACCAAAGTAAACAATGTGCATTCTCTCATCCCTTGCAACACTTGTGAAAATATAGACAAGCAGAAACAATGAAAACTCAATAATTGACAAAGAACAATCCAAACCCACATTCACCTTGAACGTGGACAAGCCGTAGAGTCTTGTGGTGTGAACTGTTTCAGGGGAGACGTTGGTGATGTTCGTTATAAACTCCTCCAGATACTTGCAGGCCTGCTCCAGGTGGGTGGTGTTAATGATGATCTGCACCAGCTAGAGAAACAAGGTAACAGCTTCAGACTTATTGTCAGACTTAATAACAGTGTGTGTGATCTGTAACAGTAGTGGTGCATACCTCGGTCAGTCCTATGTGAGGTTTCTTGATGAGGTTCTGCAGACAGCTGCTGAGTGTTCTCGTCAGCAGCAGGTTGGTGGATTTCCGCAACATGTCATCGATCTCTGTTGAACTGGACACACAAACAAATGTTCAGTCTATTCATTTTAGATATTTAGTTGTACAAAAAAATAAATATATATTAGCACGAGGGATGGGTATCGATAAGGTTTTAACGGTACTACTACTTTTATCGATACCGCTTATCGGTCCGGTCTTTTAACGGTTCTCTTATCGGTTCTTTTGGAGAAAAAAAGAAGGTAAACTAACTAAACAAATTGTGAACAAAACTAACATTGCTTTTTATTTAAATGAAATACATAATATTTCACATCAAAAGAAACAACACACATCGTATTAAATAATCTGATGACAGAACTGTAAACAGAATAGCTGAAACTTTAACAAAATAAATAACTCAGTTTCCTCTAATCATTAACCCATGCTTGTATAATGTAGTTAACTCTGTGTGTTGCTGCTAGCATACATAACACCTGACGTGGAAACGTTCCTCGTGGATGGGGCTACAGAGCTGCTAGAAAGACAGTGGAACCCGGTGCATTCCTCCGTCTGGATGTGGAGCACTTTTGCTAAATGTTTAGACAAATTGCTCGTGTTACCGCCCTTACATGCTAAACTCTTATTCCACTTTTGGTAACGAGCATTGTCCACATCGAGACGGGTAAAGTGTAGCCACACCTCGGAGCGCGTTCTCTCCGCCACCTCCGCCGTGTGTGTGTGTTGCTGCATGTAGCAGCTGTGTGTGTGTAAACTGCCCCGCCCCCTCGCAAGCAGGCGGGGGAGAGAGATCTCTCGTCTGGATTGGAAAGATCGAAAATACTAAAAATAATCATAGACGCATTTTGCTGTCTTTTTGCATATTAGAAACGGAGTTGGCAACACTTAAACTGCAATGTAATGTTTATGTAGCAATAATACATATGACATATTTTTTACATGTCTCCAGTACCGATAAAAAGACCGATAACGTTGGAGCTTAACGGTACCACTGTCTTTAATAATTCAGCCCCGGGGCCAGTTTAATACCGGGGCTCGGTACCCATCCCTAATTAGCACTATAGAAGTGCTCTAGAATCTGCTCTAAAATACTCAAAGTATACCCATGTTAATGTTGTGTGGACCAACCTCCGGTGTAGAGACTCAGAGAACTTGAGGCTTGCGTAGATTAACTCTTTGACCTGCGTGTAGATCTGAGGGACGGACTGGGACATTGGCAGCTTCTTTGGAAAGTCCTGCTGCTTACACACACGTGAACAAAACACAGAGAATGACAGTATTAATTGACTCATTATCTATTATACACTCCGTTTGAAAATTTCACATTTTTTGCTTCAATGTTTATGGTTCTATAAATCTAATTGCAGTGGAAAGTAAGGGAGAGTAAGAGGGTTGGTTGAAGGGGGGCTTGTTTTACATTCATTGTCTTAACCAAAGATTAAACATGACAATTAACTTAAAGATTTCCAAAGGGGCAAGTCAAAATGCACTTTGTGGCGGTAGAATTCTGATCTACTTGATTTGATTGAGCGAGTTAAAAGAAACGTGTTCTGAAACTGTGCTGCACAGGTTGGTCAGTGTAAAGCACTTGAACTTGTTACCTTCTCTATCTCAGCATCATGGAAGGGAAAGCGGCTGACAACCAGTATATACTCCTCCTCTGTCTCCACGGGGATGGGACTGTAGTTGTCCAACTCAAAGATCTCCCTGTGGAAAAAAAACACAATGTAATGTGTTTGCACATTTACATTTTGGGTTAGTATTGGAGCTTTGCGAATCTCTCTCTCTGCGACATTTTGCGACGTGTGTTGCTGTTCTTAATTCTACAAGTGTTGTCTGAGTTTGAAACTTTTAGGACCTTACTCTTCTACATGCACCTTACGATGAGCCAGAAAACAACGCTTTACAAATAATCTGAGAGAAAAATGTCTAAAGGAACTCTTTATCATTGCAAGAAATGTCTTTGCAAGATTGCTTACAGCTGGGTTTAATGTTGAAATGTAGCATGTAACATGAAGAACAGAAAATAGTTATAGACAAACCCATGATCAAAGCTCACCTGAAAACCAGAGCCCACTTCTTCAGCAGAGTTTCATTATACTGGTCTCTGACCTCAAACAGCAGGTCAAACAGCCGGTTCACTGGGAATCCATAACCCTGAACACACACACGCAGAAAATCATGTGTGTTCATCACAGTTGCTCTGCATGCTTATGGAGATGTCCAAATGAAGAACAGCACATTGTGAACCAACCTGTAGTGTGTCAGCAAAGATGACTATGAGGTTCTTCAGCTCCAGGACCAGGTCTGGGTCATCACAGTACGACTGGGAATAACAAACATCATAATCAGCAAACAACACCCAAAGGCATGCGATCGGAAAAACAGCAGTTGTTGTTATTGTTAACTGCAACAATAACACACCACTCTAACCTCCGTATTGGTGTTTTTAGTGCATCAAATGTATGTTCAGGGGTATGTATGCTGTATGTCTCACTGGGATGAATAGACTGGGATCATTTGTGAGGCATCATCAAGCTTGACTTAAACATTGCTTTCCTAACTCTGTAAAAGAAAATGTAACAAATAAATAGATAGATCTAAATGTACTGACTTCTTATATATTATAAAACTATAATAACTTAATACAATAACAAAAATAATAGGAATTACAATTCATAATTACATATTTTGTATGCAGGAGATAATGGTCAAACCTCTGGGCAAAAAGTATTATCATGGTGAATGGTAGGAGGATTTGCATTTGAAATGGTGCCTTGCTAGTCCTTCAACTACTAAGAGCTTTTACTGCATGCCATCATTTAACCATCCACACATATTTATACACTGATGCTATACAAGGTGCCAGACTGCTCATCACTATTCAGTGGTGATTTACCCACAGCTCCAATGCTACAAATATGAATCTGAGACACATCCTCCACAGTTATCCCTGTAAACTGTGTACATAGTGTTATAATAGAAAGCTTGACAGGCGTAGCAACAGTAATAGGGGAGGGGCTAAGCTAAGGGTCAATCAAGAACAACAAGGTGTCTCCATTTTTCCTACATGCAGAGTGATTTACGACCCTGAAAGCAGCACAGTTGAGTCCCCTCACTCTAACAAGGATCCTGCCAAACACAGGAGTGTGTAAATCACCAGAGTAAATGAACACAGCCTGAGATTTGTCTTAAAGCAGCGGCCGGCTGCCTGTTGTTTACACAGACACACACCAACAATCAGCTGGAGACTGCACTACACAGCAGCAATCACAGCAGTGGTACTAATGTATACCACCAGTTTGGACAGTTTTATGAGTCTCTTGGTATAATGCTCTCATCCATGCTATATGTGAATATGACATGACGTTGGTATTAATTAAAAGTGCATTCTTCAATTTGTTGTTTTAATGAATGTAGTATTTAGGGTTAGATTATTTTTATTATAATTATAATGATATAATTGATTATTAGTTTTCAGGGCATTTGGTTAGTTTTAGGGTTTGTTTTTTTAGTTTGTAAATGTCTCTGTATAATACATGAACTCTTTTATATTCTAGATGTATTAGTCATTTATATTGTAAATACTTTTAGTTTAGTGTCGGAGCCCCTATTCCTAGTTTGAAATAGTTTAGCAAGCTGTCCCATTTCACATATCTCCATTATGTCTTATAATTGTATTTTCTAACTGTTTGTGAACAAAATAAATTGAATTGTGAGGAATTTGTGTATTCCAATAGTGTGAGAACTAACAGTATGAACACCTTTTGTTATGTGCAATAAAATGGTTGACATTTGACGGTGAATTAGAAGGGGACCGTTGCATGGACAGGTTTGTGAAAAACCATTTCTTCTGCCTGTGGGCTGACCATGTCGTGGTTGTAAGGTCGGACCCTGGCGGTGTCGTGGCCCTGGAGGCCCCGGGGGAGACCAGGGCCTTTGTTAGTCTGCTCACCCCACGCTGTGCGGCCCATTCTCTGGCCTGTTAGCATAATCCTCTGGGTCATTTACAACTGACTGGAGCCCAGCGGTCAGGAATATGCCTGCTTAATCTGCTGTTATTGTTGCAATCTGTCTCTCATTAAGGCCCCAATGACCTCCTCTTTGGCAGCATGCGTATATGTGTTTTGACCTTTTCTCTTGAGAGTGACATCATTAGTGTGTTTGTGGGTGCGCTGACCTCCACAGTGTCATGTGTGTGTGTGTATCAGCAAGTGAATGAAGGTTCTTGCAGGATAAATAGATCCACAGCAGGCTCTATTATCTCTATTAACTCTGAACAGTCCCCTTCTCATTCACTGTCCACTCCCTGCTGTTACTGTGTGTGTCATGCGTGTGCGTGTAGATGTGTGCGTGTGTGTGTGCATACAGAGTGTGTGCGCAGCACGGCGATGATCTTGGACAGGGCCATGTTCCACACTTCATCAGTGAAAGCTCTGGTCACCAGCCCCTGCGTGGCATGAAGGATATGGTCCTCCACAACGAAGAACCTGACACACACAGAAAACACACACATATCAGGATTTATATGTATGTTCACATGTGGCTGACTGACTGATAAACTTGACAGACAGATTGTAATGTTAAAATCAAATGTTGTTCTGTGACAATGAAGAGAAAAAGGGAGGAACATCTTACCCCACAATCTGATTGAAGTATCTCCTGTAGCCTTCCACTGTCTCATGCTGCACACACACACACACACACACACACACACACACACACACACACACACACACACACACACACACACACACACACACACACACACACACACACACACACACACACACACACACACACACACACACACACACACACACACACACACACACACACACACACACACACACACTAAATCAATGTTTTTAGTGAAACATTATTCAAGTAAATGACTGAAAGTGTCTAGTTATTGCTGCCTTATTTGTTGTTACTAAATTGCATATCAACTTGTTAAGTCTTTGAGTCAAAGCTGCTTGAAAAGAAACATTTGTTGACGTCAGGGATATCAACCATACATAATGGAATATAAATAGAGTATATTGATGAATATGCAGTATGGGTGATTCATGATACTGCTTCAATCAGCATGTGTGTTTGTGGCTCACCATGTTAGCCTGTGGCTGCAGGACGAGCCGGGCCTGTTTTTTCCTCTGTTTCCTGTAGTAGTTCTCAAATGTTTCTCGGTCACCCTGCAGAGAAATACAAAAGTTTTAGTACATCTTCGAACTTTACTGACAATGACAAAGAAATAAATATTAAAATCAAAAAATGATGGCGGAGGAAATATGGATATTTGAGCATAGTGGGTACATTTGAAAATCATAGTGGAGAAAGTGAAAGTGAAAGATAAACATTTAAGCATCTATATTTGAAAATGAAATAATACAGTCTTTGTTGTTTGAAAAGTAAAATAAAGTATAGTGTTATATATCTAATGTTGGTTGAGCTACTTGGCCTATTCACACTTAAAAATAAATACATTTTGTTTTGAGTGTGAATAGGGCTTGGATCAAATTTGTGTTCTGCTGTTATGGACTTGGATTTCTTTTCTTTTGTTGACTTGAATCCTCCAACATGTCACAAATCCTTTCAGTTTCTGAGGTGAAGTCATCAGTACATTGTGTGCAGAGGTACGCAAGGAGGTCATTTAATCATCATGTTCAATTCTGGAATAATGCACTTCTACACCAAATTGTTTCTATGATCCTTTTTATGGATGAGTGTGTGTCTTTGTGAGTGTGTTTGTGTGTGTGACCAGAGAGACACCTACCAGCACTGTGTAAATGTGTAAACACCTGTAGACAGGCGAGAAGTCCACTAGGTCCTGAGCAGTAAGAATCTGTAAGACAACATGAGAAACAAATATATATATATATATATTTAACATGTCCAATATATTTATATGATCTACAAATTATTTAAAAAAAACAGCAACCAATGAAAATAGGTACCCAATTGTGAAGTAGCAAGATAATGGAAACTCATACACACAAATATACACACACAGGTGCAAGTGTCATTATAGTTTGATCACTCTCTGTCTCACACAACTACACAGAAGGTTTCCTCACCTCTTCATCTCCTTCATCCTCGTCTCCTGTGTCCTCATCCATCATCAGGCCGTTGTGAGTGTGTGTGTGTCCGTTGAGGGTGTACACAGGCTTGTTGTAGTGGCCCGTACTGGCCTGCTTGGCTACTGCGCTGTTAAAGGTCCTGTGCTGCTGGGCCTACACACACACACACACACACACACACACACACACACACACACACACACACCACACACACACACACCACACACACCACACACACACCACACACACACACACACACACACACACACACACACACACACACCACACACACACACACACACACACACACACACACACACACACACACACACACACACCACACACAACACACACACACACACACACACAGATCAGAGAGCTGAACAATACATGTTCACTTCTATTGTGGGACTTATTGAAACACAACCTCTCATACCTGTCTCATGGCAGTCTCTCCGACCTTGTCCGAGTGTTTTCTGATGCTCTCCAGGAAGTCCTTGAGGTCCGACATGGAGATCTCCCTTGATCTCTTCTCTCAGTCTGGGCAGGTTTTCAGCCATGATCTGACAGAACCTGTACTGACTCACCCTGCAGGAGACAGCAGAACCAGTCCAGTTGGGTCCACTTTATAACATACTATCTAATCTAACCAGCATTGTATCATTTTATATGTAAAACAATGCAATACAAAAGCAGATTCATCTTATTTCTATTAAATGTGAAAAGAATGTTCAAAGACTTATACAAATTCAAACTTCCCATAAAATGGCATAATGGATTTCTTAATTAGATTTTGATTCCTGCTGCAACAGCTTTTTAAGGCGGAAGAAGGAATCTATATTAAAGCTGCACTAATCAATATTTGACATACACAATGATTGTTTACCATGTGTAATGTGAAAGCTGTCATCTCTACAGAACTGTTAGGTCTCTTTTAGATCCTTATTTAGGTTTAATGGTAGCATTTTTACTATATGGGTTCAGTTTGCTTTTTCCTTACTCTATATCCAACCTCGTCTCTAGCAGCAGTTCTGATCAATCCAATACGTTCATCCAATATGTTTGGGACACAGTGAGCATCAACAGCAAAGTGAATCCTGCTGCCGTTTGAGAGATTTCTAAGATTGCAACACGTGATTTTTGCCATAACTATGAATCATCACCAATGATGATCTAAGCTACAAACACTACAGCGGTTTAATACAATGATCCTACCTGGGGATGAAGACCTTTTCCAGCTGCTCCATGGTTTTCAACGCAGCATAGTATCTGCAGAGGAAAACAGTAGAGCTGCAGTTAGGATGCAATCACAGCTATGGATATATTCCAACATTTACTTGAAGATGATTTGAGTCTCCACCCTCTGATAAAGTCAAATAAATAACTCTTCCTTCATTGAAGTTTAGAAATCAAGCACTGTCTGGGAAACCCCTAAAAGGACATTTCATATTGCATTTCTTATAATTCATACTAAAATGTCTTTTAATGGTCCGTCATGATTCCAACTGTGTTGTATGAGGACCATTTTGAGTACTCCTTTAAATGGCCAACATGGACAGAAATGAATTTAAAAGTCAATGTACAGGACAGGAAACCTGACAAATGTTTTAAGACAGACATGGAAACATATTAACCAATCCCTTTGTGTTTGGTTCACTGAGCAGTAGGCGGCCCGATTATATATGAACCAGGTTTTTAAAACACATTAACAGCAGAAAAATGTAAAACGGGATAGTACATGACAATGTTCTGAGAGAACACCTAAAGGATATAAGACTAATGTATTCAAATTGTATAGTATACAAATAGATTGGGTTAGTGCTGTCTCATTTAGATCCTCTTCTAATGGGCTTGTGCACAACAAGCCAATCATAAAGCCACATGCACGTCTAATACATTGCATGCAGTTAAGTGTTGTATTTCATTCATTGGGCCACCTGTGCTACATAGATGTTGTGCTCTTTCATAGTGTGCACACATCACCAGGGTTCAGCCTTGGGTCAGTGTGCTGGGCTCCCATCATTAGTCTGATAGGCAGGCTGTGAAGGGATCTAATTGGTCAGTCAGTGAGTGTAAAATGTGTTGTATACACATGAACAGAAGACAGCCTCATAAAGTGTACAGTGAAAAGGTTTGTCAGAGTGCAGAGCTCCAGGATGGACGACACAAAGCCTGCAAGTGGCTGGGCATTGGACAGAATGTGACCTGGGCATTGGCACATACCGCACAGGAAATAATGTGCATTTTCAATATACAAACTCATCCCAATTTTGTCGTAAGTGTTTAGGCTATGTCATTAGTGCTTCAAATACACTCCACACACAAACACAAATCCCACAAGGTGGTCAGCATGGTCTAATTGCCTTGGATTGGCTGAGGGTCGTGACAGGGCTGCAGTGAGGGGGCCTTGTTGTGAACAAGGGCACACTGAGGGTCAATTGTCCTGCTAGTGAATGGCCTTTTTCCTTTGGTACACAGTAATGAACAAGGAAGGGTAATTATTTTCCTGCCCAAAGTGAACTCTCCTCCCCTGATGTATTTACGACCAAACATGAAGTTCATGGTTCGTTAGGATGTTTGATTATTCTGTTAGCTCTTTGCTAAAGCAGTTGTTTAGAATGGAAACGGAAACATGTATATAGTTTGCTATTTAGATTTACATCTCCATTTACTTAGTTACTTCAGTAATTTAATACCAGATTAGTAAGCAATATATTACTGCCTACTGTGGTTCAAAGTTTAAACTCTGACCACAGCCAGCCTCACTTATACTCCTACATTTAAGGCTGGGGCTCAAATGCAATACTTTTTTGATAATATTTGTTCCATTTACTAAATATATCTACTCATTCTTTACTTTATATGGATGACTAATCCCCTATACTATATATGGATGACAAATTACCTCTTCATGGACTGAAACACGTTTACAAGGTTTTAACTCGTATGGTAAACCATTCATTTTGAGTTTTAGTTTGGTTCACGTTTGTTTAAATGTATATTTTGTTGTACTTCTCAGGCTGTGTGAAATTTGATTTTCATCATTGTTTTAATTTGTTATTTTCATTCTTTCGGGTCCTACATTTTTGAAAGGGAAAACTCTGTTGAACCTTTGGCAACAACATGCCTTTTCAAAGTATATTTAGTATACTAGTACATTTGTATATAGTCATTATATATACATATATATAGATATATATTACCATGCTACACCTCAGTTGATCTCATATACTTGTAAGTGTGCCGAGCTGGGTAGTAGCATGGCACTATAGTGCTATAGCCTATGGTAGCTCACAGTTGGACACTGATGGGAAAGGGGTGCTGTCACCAATAATTGATACTTGGCAAGCAAGATTATAGATAGTGTGACGTAATCTGGGAACTTTAAGAGTATTACACTTCTGAAGTTGTTTTAATATTAGTGTTCATGAGTCACATCGTGATGAAATGCTTAGTTATGGATACCTTTTGGACTCCAGCTGCTCCTTTAGTTTGCTGTACATTTCTAGCACTGAAAGGAAGACAAGACGGGAAACAGGATCAGTAACAGGATCGGTACTTGAAGCCATTCACTTTACTCATTTACTGTGCATACAAGATAACACATGCTAGACTAAAGTGTCTGACCAACCCAAGACAGGAAGTTATATTAAAGTTTATACTTTACTATTAACTCAAAACAGTGGCTAACTAACAAGTCTACCGTAACAGGAGGGTTGTCTGTCTGGCAATACATCTGCATGCCTTTGAGCAAGGCACCAGATATCCACACCGCTCCCCTGGCGCCTTATAATAGTTGCACACTGCTCCAAATATTGGGATGTGTTATATGCAGGGACTAACTGAGAATGTAGGGTTGATTAGAAAATAATTCATTTCAAATCCTCTATTTCCACTAAATACTATATACATTCCTACCTGCACACATACATGGACTCCAGTGACGTGCGGTGAGGTTCATGGCTGGTGAGGCACTGACTCTTTCAGAGTCAGATTTACAAATATTATATTTTGACCTTTATCGAAATATTCGGTTATTTTCAAAAGCTTTTTTAGTCTGATGCTTCAATTCATTTTAAACAGACTGTTCAACAAAAGAATACCCAAAATCTAAATATTGGATTGTTCTTTCTTAGTAAGATTCCATTTGCATTACAATTGGGGTCTTACCTTGACTTGAAGATGAAGTCCATGCTATCCTTCTGGACAACAATCTCTATTACTTTTTTGTAAAAGTCCTCCTTATCTTCCTCTAGTTTCAAAAGTCTAGTTTGTTGTTCATGTCTACCGTCCCTGCGTAGAATAACAGTAGCAACAATAACATGTGGGCTCACTTGCGCCCCCTTCAGTGCGGCAGAGGTTATGGCTGCCTCCCCTGGTGCTTTTTTCATTGCCGTTGTATGAGGAGACCAGCGGGCCTAAATATCATATATACGTGAAATAAGTTATTTAGAGACCATGGATGGCGAGGATAAATGTAATAAAGCGATCTACAAATATTAAATTGGTGACATTCAGTGAGATGGCGCAGGCATGCGCTTAGGGCCCGCTTTCCAGACAGTTTCTGTGGGGTGACGCATTCTGAGGTGAGGCAGGCCCAATCCCAAACCACTCCCTCGACCCTACCCCTCCGTGACGGAGTGAACTCAGTCTGTAGCCACACTTGCAGCTCAACAAGGCTCCCTCCTGTCAGATGGAGGGAGTAAATACAGCAGCAAGCTTTGGGACGGCCTCCCCTCTCTCCGGCAGAAACAGGAAATGCCGTAACTGTATGTAACAACGGTTTCAAATCAGCATCTCTTTGACAAAAAATGTAAATGAATAACTCAAATAAAACTCCAAACATCTTTCATTGTGTTACTTTTTTTGCAAAGCTCTTTTAGTTTTAAACCTGATGTTTATAAGCTTCTTAGTTTTTGCAATAGTCTGTAAATATACACAACTTTATAATAAAATGCACACATTTACCTTTTTCTAGACTAAACACAGGTACGATCCTAAGTTAAAACATATGAGGCTATCATGAGGTTGTTAACATCGCAGTTTATCAGCGGATGTTTGCTGGAATTACTTGTTAACAGCTTGTTTCCTGACGGACACACACAGCGTTGAGACCGGTCAGGTAGAGAGTTCTTATTATACATCCATGGTAGAGACCAAGCCCCCAGGAAGTGCGCCGGACTCAGATGAAAATATTCGTGGTGGCCAAACGGCAGTACTACATTTCCGTTTGGTTGCCAGGCCCGGAAACACTTTTTCCCATTGACTTACATGGGGAAAGAGTGGTCTGTAAATCGTTGGATAATTTTTTTAAAACTAAATAAACAACCCAGTATGAACACTTGTATAGATCTTATTAAAAACATTCGTTCCTCAAGTTGTAAAAATGTGCTAATAACGTTATTCTGAGAGTTATTTCCCTCTGCATTATGAACGCGCATCTAACCCACGGGACCGCGCTGCCCGGCACGTTCATGTTACGTGTTCAGCACTACATGAGTTGTACCTTTACCAATGGATGCACAATAAGAACGGATCCATATCGCCTTACTGCCATCCCACGGAGCTGTAATAATGGATATATTGCACATGTTTGCTGTAATTCATCATTTGTAAAATATTATACTACATGGGCTGTATGATTAAATCTTGTACCGTAAATGTTGTATTAAATAAAGTTAATATTACCGACGTTAGATTGACGTCCCTGTAGCTTATTATTGCACTAAGAAGCTTATTGCACTGTATATATATATATATATATATATATATATATATATATATATACAGTGCAATAATTATTTCATGCTAAATGAAGCTCTGTTGCTTGGATATCACTAGATCAGCTATCATACTGAATAAATATTTACTGTGAATGTATGCAAAAATGTATGGCATATGGCTGTCTAACATAAGTTAAATTCATTCCTCACTTATTCTGACAATGTACTTAACCCCAAATAAAATAACCCAATAAAAAGAGTTGTTAAATAATAGTGAAGTCACGTTGTAATAAAAATAACTCATCTCTCTCGAGTTTTCTTTTTGAGCTTTGCTAAAAGCCACTGTGTCAAGTGTCCATCTTGGGTTGCCGTCCGGAGTTGTCCAATATGGCGGACCATCTCGCACATGCGCAGTACCGATCGGGCAGGGGACGGATCGGGTAGTGACACCCCACAGTAACTGGCTTGAGCGCACTCACAAAATAAGTGCCCGCGTTAAATTAGTGCCCGCGCTCCAGCCAGTTACTGTGGGCTTACGTGAGGCAGAGCTCGTCCCTGCCTCACTTCTCATCGCGACCCGTAGTTGTAGCGGAGCTCGGCAAATTTGCTGATTTTGACTATAAAAAGCGATTGGAATCAAACAGAAATCACATTTACAACACAGATCAGTGGAGATATTTTATTATTATTTAGTTTTTCTTTAGTTGTTTTTCCGTTACATTGGAGTATGACAGGTGAGGCCCTGCCTCCCCTGACTGCACGTCGCTGATGGACTCCAGTGGCACCCTAAAGTCACATAGATGACTAACTAGAATAAAGGGACCATCATCTTGACACACATGCAGCAGTGGTACCTGGTATACAGAGCTGCAGCTTCTCCACAGTGGTGGCCATGTTCCTCTGCTGGATGCGGCAGCGAATCACCTCTTCTGTCTGACACGTCACCTGAGTGCAGGAACACACAATGGAAGGAAACGATGAGAGAGAGGCCTCCACTGTTCACCACTGGGTTAAAGAACGGTCATGTGTAATGCACAACTGTCTTTGCACAACAAAAAGCACACTTGTTGTCCTCAGCACATTTATGCATACACTTATAAGTGGACTTACCTCCCTCCCCGACTCCTGTAGCCTTCGATTAGTGTCCGTCACCTGACCCTTTAAAAACAAACACAGACAGTTTAAATGTAGACTCAGAATCTCTACATTTATTTTGTCTTTGCTCCGCCTTTGGTTCCTACAACTTTCTGTTTAATGTCAAAACATATATTGTCTTTTTCCTCTGCTATATGCTATAGAACTATCCTATAAAAACAACAACAATGAACCAGAGTTTCCGTTAGCTGGTATTTACTGCAAATCTAAATCTCTCCGGTCAAAATAATTTCCCTTTAGCACAATACCGCATCAGTTGCGCCACTTATGTGACAGACAAGAATAGTCAATTCTAATGTCTAACATTTAATGTGGAGAAAGAGATGTCCTGTATGGGTTGATTGTGCGTTGATCTGTTGGTAATGCCTCCGGTGGGCCAACCCAGTCTCATGGCATTTCGTGTTCACCAACACGATTTTTAATCTATTGATTCGTGTTCACCAACACGATTTCCCCCTTTTTTTCGTGTTGCACAGTACGATTTTAAAAGCAATGTATTTCTACTGGTAATGTGTTTCGTGCCTGCAGCACGTCTTTTTCTCCGGTCGGGTCGTGGAAGACCGGAAGCTGTGTGGTTCATAAAAATATGTTCTTACTCAATATCAAGCCACAATTATTGCTTTTATTTTAAATCGTATAATTTCGGACTTTTGTTGCCGTCTGTGAGGAAAAGAAATGGGGCTCAGAGCCTCAGAATACTGAAATCTGTATTTTTTAAAATCTTTTTTTCCTTCTAATTTGTTATTCTTTTCAAAATAACACACTGTTATTTACTCACCAATAACACACAATTATCCTTAATTTTATTTATTGGTTTAATTCCATAATCTCGGGCTTTTTTGGCATCCGTCAGGAACTGAATTTCAAAATAAAATAACCGGAAACAGATGTAGGCATTTCGAGCGATTACCCAAGATCCTCAGCTATGGTTTAAGCTCGCTGATTGGATGTTTTAGCCGCAATGCATGCTGGGATTTGGTGTTTATATGATATGAAATCCGGAAAACATTTTAAAAGAATAAAATAATACTTAATTCCGAGTGTTCTTGCTTTTCTCTTTGAAAGTCATCACATACCGGCATTGTAATACACGGTTCGGCTGCATTACATATTACACATCTGCCGTAGTTCTTTATTTATAGAGCCCTGATGAGAAGACCTTTGGAAAAACTTGAAGAAATGCCGCCGAAACTGAATACTTGACATGGATCATAAATATATCAACAATTAAACAACATCTTCAATTTCTCTTCACACAATACGTCTCCTTGCAGTATCAACAATAATTTGGCTGACTTTTACATTTGATCTAATTCATATCCATCTTCTCCCGCTTATCCGTGGTCGGGTCGCGGGGTTAGCAGTTCCAGCAGAGAGCCCCAAACTTTATTTTCCCTGGCGACATCAACCAGCTCTGACTGGGGGATCCCAAGGCGCTCCCAGGCCAGCGAAGAGATATAATCCCTCCACCTAGTCCTAGGTCTACCCCTTGGTCTCTTCCCAGCTGGACGTGCCTGGAACATCTCCCTAGGGAGGCGCCCAGGTGGCATCCTAACTAGGTGCCCGAACCACCTCAACTGGCTCCTTTCGACGCGAAGGAGGAGCGGCTCAACTCCGAGTCCCTCCCGGATGACCGAACTTCTCACCTTATCCCTAAGGGAGACACCAGCCACCCTGCGGAGAAAACCCATCTCGGCCGCTTGTATCCGCAATCTCGTTCTTTCGGTCATGACCCATCCTTCATGACCATAGGTGAGGGTAGGAACGAAAATGGCCCGGTAGACAGAGAGCTTTGCCTTCTGGCTCAGCTCCCTTTTCGTCACAACGGTGCGGTAAAGCGACTGCAGTACCGCTCCCGCTGCTCCGATTCTCCGGCCCATCTCACGCTCCATTGTTCCCTCACTCGAGAACAAGACCCCGAGATACTTGAACTCCTTCACTTGGGGTAAGGACTCATTCCCTACTTGGAGTGGACAGTCCATCGGTTTCCTGCTGAGAACCATGGCCTCAGATTTGGAGGTGCTGATCCTCATCCCAGCCGCTTCACACTCGGTTGCGAACCGATCCAGTGAGTGCTGAAGGTCGCAGACCGATGAAGCCATTAGAACCACATCATCTGCAAAAAGCAGTGGTGCAATCCTTAGTCCACCGAACTGCAGACCCCCTCCCCCATGACTACGCCTCGAAATCCGATCCATGTATATTACAAACAGGATTGGTGACAAAGCGCAGCCCTGGCGGAGGCCAATCCTCACCTGAAATGGGTCCGACTTACTGCCGAGGACCCGGACACAGCTCTCACTTTAGGAGTACAGAGATTGGATGGCCCTCACCCCATACTCCCGCAGCACCTCCCACAGTAATTCCCTGGGAACTCGGTCATACGCCTTCTCCAAGTCTACAAAACACATGTAGACCGGATAAGCGTACTCCCAGGCCCCCTCCAGGATCCTTGCGAGAGTAAAAAGCTGATCCGTCGTTCCACGACCAGGACGGAATCCGCATTGTTCCTCCTCATCTAATTCATAGATAGGTTATATTTAATTTACACCATAACGGTGCACAGCTGATATAAAAGGACTTGTAGTTTTTAAAGATATTACTGATTTTCTTTGAATGTAAGAATGTAAATACTGAGTCTTAAATAGTATAGCAATATGCTGTAAAATTATGTGAAAGCATGAATAAAACTACACATCTTCAGATGTTGTACATATAAGTGTATAAGTGTCCTACACTAATAATACAACGTTATTATGGCTGTGTGTACCTTGTGTGCACCGCCTAGTGGTTAAAGTACGTTATTGAATTATTGTTTTTATGTGTTATATTTGATAAAAAAAATATTAAGAGTACATACTTTCATAGGGGGAAAGTAGAAGGTCTGTGATAGAAATATAGAATATAAAAAATCAAGAAGATACTATAAGTGATCTCTACAATAAAACAGTTTAGTGCAGGATGTACAAAGATATTATTAGGAGGAGGTGCAAAACAGAAAAACAAATTAACCTTTATTTAAACATTAAATACAACTTTAGATTAAGGTCTTCTTTTAAATAGGAAAAAAACGTTGGGGGTATCTATCTACAGATAAATATTAAGCCTGACAAAGTACTTAACGTCTAATATATTGCTTTCCTGCAATGTTAACTATGTTGAAGTACTTATTTTAACTGATATTATACATATGAATTATACACTTATGTATGTAGATAGTATAAGAAATGTGCAGAATATGACAGTTTAATGGTGGAGGTATACACACATATTGATACTGTAGATGTCTTGTAATGCGCTGTTGAGGAACCTGTGACCCAAGATTTGTATTCATTGCATACACCGCAGTTGTGTATATGATATGTCAATAAACCTTTGAAAATCTTGAAATCTTGAAAGGGATGTGCAAAATAGCCATAATATACAGTCTTTAATTAACTATTAGTAGAGAATAACCATCCATCCATCCATCCATCCATCCATCCATCTTCTCCCGCTTATCCGTGGTCGGGTCGCGGGGGTAGCAGTTCTAGCAGAGAGCCCCAAACTTTCCTTTCCCTGGCCACATCAACCAGCTCTGACTGGGGGATCCCAAGGCGCTCCCAGGCCAGCGAAGAACAACACGAAAAAAGGGGGAAATCGTGTTGGTGAACACGAATCAATAGATAAAAAATCGTGTTGGTGAACACGAAATGCCATGAGACTGGGTTGGGTGGGCATGTAAACAAATGCATAATGCTGCGCTATACTTTGCGGCCTCACCTGGTTGCATAGCAACACTTATTGTTAAGGTGTCTTGATAAGCAGGTACTCATATCATTAGCTAGAACTAGCTAGATCTGATCAATATGGACATAAACGTGAGTAAAGTCTAATCTGACGGGAGAGAGAGATCAGCTGCTGCTGACGAGTCGACACGCAGCTCTGCATGATCACATGCAGCGGTGAGCGGAGCAAAAAACACACTTCAGGTTAGAATATCACACGTAGCTATTTTAAATTACCTCTCAAACTACCTAAACTAGTTATAGATATGTTTAGTTTTACTGTCGGGTCACTCATTACTGGATCCGCGAGCTGCATGATACTGACGGGCTGTCAGGAGAGGGAGAGAGCGCTCCGTTTATTATTCCCGTGTTATAATAAATTACTGTACACTTTTGAATAATGTTAATCTACTATAGGCCTGATTAGTTTGTTTAATATCGAATCATATTAATTTGTTTTAAAGCTCAATAAATAACAAAGAAGACCTTTGACCGGCACTTTTCTCATTTTGTCCGGAAGATTTAAATTTTAACGGACATGTTGACCGGCAAAAAAAAATTCTAACGGAAACTCTGCAATGAACACACAGTGTAGAGAAAGCCGCCTGATGCCATAAAGATTTGCTACAACACCAAATATATATTAATCTGCAGCAGAAAATAATCCCAAACAAATGCACCGCTTCCTCCGGTTGGAGCAACATTTGCTACAAAATACAGCATTTAGCTGTTACAGTATTTACTTAAATATATATTGAATATACAAAATATTTAAGATTTTGGTTTTTAGTAGTATACAATGGGCTTGGGTGACTGAACTCCATAGACATTGACCGATTTATACATTGTTGGATTTTGTCCTTACATTATATGTGTGACTTAAAGGGGGAAAATGTCATAAAAACCAGCCATATCTTTTAAAAGTTGCTGCATGTAGAAAACAAAAACATGGCCGAGGTTGAATTTGAAAGCTTATCATGAGGATATCTTGCAATGTTTCATCTATAAATAAGGGGTCTTCCTCTCATTGGTATTAAGGTAAAGGTGGTGAAAATATGTATTCATAATGAGACGTTCAGGTTTCTGTGACTCATCACATATCTTAAAGACTCTAAAACACAAATACTGGTTTATTGACATTCTTGAATGGCTCCATGTTAACAAAACCAATTAGAATGTCTATCCGTCCTTCCTCCCTGTCTGCTCCCCCTCTTCATGCCCTCTTGTTTCCCTCTC